TTATTGTAAGACAGCAGTTTTTTATGAATCCTCCTTACCTCAGATATACGCATATATATTCCCCTGTTATTCTGGCCTATATCAAAATAGAAATTCTTGTTCTCTACTCGCATATGTCGGCCCTCTGGTAACTCTCCTTTGTAGCCACCATCATCTGTACCGAATTCATCGAGAAGTTCCTGAAGCGCATCACGAAATTCTATCATACCCTGGGCAGGGATAGCAATCTGACACCGGGGCCCACCCCGTGCTATTGTTTGTGATACCTGTTAAAAATAATCTATATTAATTACACAATCAATACAAAGATTACGAAGTCGAAGTTATTACAGTAATAATGTTAGTGCTAACAGTGAAATCAATATAAATAAAATAAGTGTAATTACTTTCAAGATATTTATGCAAAATATATTTAGGAGCAGCCAACCATGTTCAATGAAACTTCTAGTATTAATAGTACTACATTTATTACTAGGATGGAGTACAAAAAAAGTCCGATGGATACCCACCATGTACTGTACATATATGATTAAAAATACCTTGCTAATGTTCAAAACTCCTCAGGTTAGTCTACAATCATAAGAAAGATAGAACTACATGTACTGATTATATCTGAACAAAATACTTCACACATGATTGAATCACTTATCAGGACTTTTCCCTCTCATGCAGACAATACATACCCTAAGGAAGCGCCCTCTTGAGTTTTCTTTTAGGTCAAGGTAGTACCTTCTGTTGTCTTTCACCATAGTCTCAGATTTGAGTTTTCCATCTTCTGGTAACGTGTCGGGATTAGGCGGACCTGATCAAGGACCTATACTATTAGTAAGTCTTCTAACACTATAGCATTTTAGGAGTAAAGGCAAAGATAAACAGGAGAAATATGACAAATTACGCCAGCTGTGATAAGACTATAAGGAATGTATTTATACTATAATACTTATTCAAAGTACCACCATTTTCCAAAAATCATTTGAGTATCACTCTGAATGAAAGGGTATTGCAATTACAAACTGATAACAAAAAAGGTTACTTTACAAAAAAATAAGAAGATAATTGAGACATTTACATTTACAGAATTTAGTAAGGAATGATATCTATGATTTGATAGCTATAGCAAATGCCTGAAAAACACTCACACCTTTTATTTATTCAATAACTCACCAAGATTAGCATAAAAATCACTAAAATGTGACAGATGATCCCTAAATTCTGCTGCTGTGGAAAGTGCAAGAAATACTTGATTTCTTCTGCCATCAGCACCAATCTGGAAAAAATATGAATATCAGCCCCTTCTGTAATCTCTATCAGATTATTCATAACACACATGCCTTGCAACTACGAGATATTAGCAGTGATTATGGAATGCCCTAAAAATATATTAAATGACAAAGGCAGTAGATGCACAAAAATACACTCCCCATTTCCTACTCAAACAAATAAAAACAGAGGTCACTTGAGTGCAATCCAGTTGGTACTTCTTTGCAAAACAACTAGGCTGAATCAAGATCAAACTGTAATCAGAACCATGTGTGTGATGCATGTCCACCACTGTTCTTTATTGCATCATTAAAAGCTAGTGACTAATATTTACTGGCATTTTAGAAGACAATAAATTTTTGGTATATTCTCTATTGTGCATTTGTACAAAGAGCTGCAGGCTATAATGAATGATGAGACAAAATTATGAGAGGATCCGAAATATATTGTGTGTATGTTTGTGTGTGTGTGTGTGTGTGTGTGTGTGTGTGTGTGTGTGTGTGTGTGTGTGTGTGTGAAGTGTGTGTGATGTGTGTAATGTCTGTGTGTATCTGTGTGTGTGTGTGTGTGTCTGTGTGTTGTGTGTGTGTGTGTGTGTGTGTGTGTGTGTGTGTGTGTGTGTGTGTGTGTGTGTGTGTGTGTGTGTGTGGTGTGTGTGGTGTGTGTGTGTGTGTGTGTGTGTGTGTGTGTGTGTGTGTGTGTGTGTGTGTGTGTGTGTGTGTGTGTGTGTGTGTGTGTGTGTGTGTGTGTGTGTGCGTGTGTGTGTGTGTGTGTGTGTGTGTGTGTGTGTGTGTGTGTGTGTGTGTGTGTTGTGTGTGTGTGTGTGGTGTGTGTGGTGTGTGTGTGTGTGTGTGTGTGTGTGAGTGAGTGAGTGATGTGAGTGAGTGAGTGAGTGAGTGATGATGAGTGAGTGAGTGAGTATCGGAGGGAGAGAGAGAGAGAGAGAGAGAGAGAGAGAGAGAAGAGAGAGAGAAGAGAGAAGAGAGGAGACGAGAGAAGAGGAGAGAAGAGAGAGAGATGAGAGAGAGAGAGAAGAAGAGAGAGGAAGAGAGTGAGAGAGAGAGAGAGAGAGAGAGAGAGAGAGAGAGAGAGAGAGAGAGAAGAGAGAGAGAGAGAGAGAGAGAGAGAGAGAGAGGAGAGAGAGAGAGAGAGAGGGGGGGGGGTATGAGCTTGCATGAGTGAAAAATTTGTTTCCACATTTCAAGAAACAAAATCTTCCACAAAACAAAAGTGGCGGCTTCTACACACCACTGTCGGCGAAGTGTTCCGCCCAGAGCGACATCACATCCTCACATGTCAAACTCAAGGCTCCTCAGCATAGCCCTCGCAAGCGTAATCAAAATCAAACCACCAGTACAAACGCACTAGCTTTGCTTTCTAATTCTAACAGGAAAAAGTATCCCATCGCCTCGCCCTTTCCGCCCTTCCTTCCCTTGAATACCCAGATAGTTGAAGAGATTGCACCGCCCGCCTTTGAGTGCGCATAACAATTACTCCGGTCTTTGTTTACTTTGCTGATAACTTGATATGCATTTACGATTTAGCTCTTTGCTTAATCGCATCTGGATAAACAAAATCATTAAAAAGTAACGTCGTTACTCAGTGTTCAAAAAGTCCGTCTCGGGGGGAGAGGGTACATGTTCGTGTGCGCGTGTCGATGCACATAATTTGACTACATTCATTGCTCTATATAAGTCAAACAGCGGAAAGCTTAAGACATTGTTCAATCTTGTTCATTATTAATGAACGTACGAATCCTGATTTTCTGAAAATTCATTAACACGTGCTCTCTTACGATAAAGTGTCACCTCTTAAATGTCATCCTTTGATCAGTTATCAGCTGCTTTAAACAAGAAATGAAAGTGACACTACTTATCCGACAACACAAACTTACTATCATAATCTATTATTATACTACCATAAAACTACCATCATCGCGAAGAGAAGTCTACATTACATTCCTGTCAAAATAGGCTCGTAAGTCTCATATCTATGTTTTAGAAATACATTTAATCAAAATAGTGTATATATAATATTGGCGAATCATAGCACGTTTTTCGTTTTCGTAGATTTAAACCAAATATCATCGAGAATAAAAGACAAGCAGCCGGTTTGTTAAAATTGTGCCAGGCCCGACCCAATGAATTTTCATGAGTACAGATGCAGAAACAAAGGCATATCTATCTATATATCTGATAGATATACATTTAACCATCTATTTACCTGGTTGATACGCATGTCTAGGCAGATAAATATGCATTTATTTCTTTGTTTTTGCATGTCAAATATACGAATATTCTTTGGGTCGGGCCTCGCACAATTCTAACAAACTGGCCGTATGATAATAGCATATCTTCCAATGTTTTTACCAGTCCTAGCAATCACTTTATCTCCTCCCTTTCCCTTTCTTTCTCCGCCATGGAAGACGGAAGAAACATCAACAGAAAATAAGGATACAAAACACTAGCAAAAAAGTGAAGAAAAAAACAATAAAAACAACAAACCTCTGCTACTTTCATAAACCTGCCGCGTCTGTTTTGTTTCACATCTATGTAGAACCGTTTGCTCTGGATCTGTAGCATCTTCGTCGCCAACTCCTGCTCCCCCGACTGTTGTTGCC